TAGCTCTACACACTTTAACAATGTGTGCAATAGGTTACCTGCATGAAAACATGCAGGTTTTCAAGGTTGAAAGAATCTGTGGCCCTGAAGAGGGACATTACTACACAAATGCCCCCACAGATATGCTCCTTCACGTGAATGAACTTACCAAATATAAAACACAAACACAGGCTGAAAACGCATTAACAAACAATCAAAGCAACACTGCAAATCTCTCTAGCAATGTAGATACAATCAAAATGTGATTGTGGAAAGACTTAGTGTGTGAAATGTGCGTAGACTCTGCTGGCAGAGAGAGGCAGGCAGGCAGCAGGTGAAGTGGGGTGGCCTGCTGGTGCTGCAGCAAAATGGAACTGGCAGCACCACCCCTCACAAGCACTCCAAGATGACCAAACAAAACTGCTCTGTTTTGCCATTAACTTGAAGCAGAATTGTCATCACGTGCTATCATCAACAGACAGGGAAGACAAAAAAATATTTAAATAGTCTGAAATTATCATGCTGAAGACCATGAAAGATAATGCCTTATGTCAATGTGGACACACAGAAAACTCCATCGATTTCAGGAAGAAAATGCAATTAAACATTAAATTATTTTTATTTCTTATTTATTATTATTATATTTATTTTACCCTACCCTACTAAAAAAAACCAAACAACTAAATGTATCCAAAAGATTCAGTGTAGAGATGGAAAAAAAAGCAGAACTGTCTCAGGTGGGCAGTCTTTGATGATACTTAACACTGGAAAACATTAACAATTAATAGTCCTGAAATATCCCTCAGTTTATTCTAACAATATTTGTGTGATTTGTATAAGTTTTTTTGTACATTCCTAGTAGGAACATTTCTTCACGGGTTTCTTCATGGGAACATTCACCAAGATAAAGATTGCATGATACTTTATTGTACTTTATTATAGAAGGATTTTTTATGTTAAAAGCTATGCCAGCTCATTTTTAGCAATACAAAGCTCACTTTAGATTCATCTGCAAACAGAAATATTGCCATCTGACCTCAGTATATAGTCAAATGAATTATGAATATTTTATATCAAATATCTGTTTGAGAGACTCAAGCTGAGCTAATATTTTCCAAATCACAAAGATAAGAAGAAATAATGGTAATTATAAATTGTTAGCCCTTTCTAGATGTTCACAGCAATAGATGGTTAATGCTGTCAGAGAATGTTTACCATAATAAATAAGTTAATCTTTAAAGAAATCTTTGTGAGGTGCCTGTGATGGGCAGATTTCCAGTTTTGCAAATTTTCTGTCTCTGTAGCCAGATTCTATTCAAGTAAATAATATAGGGAGTTGCTTGTGGTAGTAAATTAGTTAAGGTAATATTGATGGTTTGTCTGAAAGAAGTTTGTCAGCTTTTGAAAACTGTTGGTATAATGTAAGTATGGCAGCCTCTAGGAGGTATCAAAAAAGCTCTTGCAAATTCAAGGATCTTTCAGAAAAAATTGAGCTTTCCTCACTGATACTGTTTTTATTGAGTCAGATCTGTTCATAGAGAAGGAGGAGGTTTCAGAAAGAAATTATTATTTATAATGAACTGTGGAAAGTGTTGGATTGTGCTAACAGATTTGCTTGGACTCAGTTTCATTGACTGGACCTAACATCCTGGGAAACTTCCATGGCCCCCAGAAAAGTCAGTTTCAGCTGTGCTAGAAATACTAAAGTAGACCTATTCTAATTAAGGTAACTGCCAAATAATTTGTGACAGTTGTGTTTAACGTCTCCAATCATTTCACATGTGAGCTAAATGCTCTTTCAAATCTTAAAACTGATCATCAGCAGTGTAGTCAAACTCTGGCAGCCATCTGGGCAGTGGGTCTGTAGTGGAGGCAGCATGATCCAGTGATGGTGAAGGATTTAGCTATTTGGGTTACACATCCTCTTTAAATAGATGTTCCCTGTACCTTTTCTAGAAGGGGAAATGAATGTGATGGAAATGAGTTTGGGTGGTTGGATAATTTCAATTGTGTTGGCCTTGCGTGGGGAGTCCCACCTAAGGGAAGATATATCTGCAGGAGGGAACCGGGTGCTGCAGGTCTCGCCATGCTAGAGGAACTCTGAGCACCTGTGGGGCAAGACTCCATCATTCTCTTGTCCATCTCAGCTTTGACGGTTTCCATAGAAAGGCTCAGGCATCAACAGGCAATGAAAGTTATCCTTTTTTGGGGGGTTTTTTTTTGGTGGTTGTTTTGTTGTTTTGGGTTTTTTGTTTGTTTTTTTGTTTGTTTGTTTTTTGTTTGTTTGTTTATTTGTTTGGGTTTTTTTGTTTTTTTAATTTTTTTTTCCCAGGAGCTGTTTTAAAACCAGAAACTTCTTTTCTATAAGCTTAGCATGCAGCTTTCTACTGCAAACACGTATAGTCATTATTGTTCTTATTAATTTCCATTACCGAGTCATCTATGCCAATAAGGATAGTATGGCATTCTTAAGTCAACTGGACTATTTAGTTCTATACACTCTTAGGCCCAAAACAATTTCCTCTTAGGTTTACATTTGCAAGGAATCCATGTACGTGTGCAGGATGATGGCTTGCAAGATTTCCTGTGTACAAGTTATGTAGACTATCTCTTAATTCACAATAGTCCTATTTTATTTTAGTTTTATTTAGTTTCCTGGGGGCAACCACTCCAATGCCTTGTTGAACTCAGTTGTCTTTTTTGCCTCATTAAGGGACATTATTGGCAATACAATTAAAAAAGATCAAGACAATTCAACGAATAATTTGTGGTGATTCTACTTCAGTTAACAGACTGCATTGGTTAAGCAGAAGAGCAGCAAAACAAAAAGTCTGAGGTTTCTTATCTTCCCCACCTCCCTCACCCCCACCCCCTCACTAGCAGAGGAGGCTTAACATTTTTCTTAGAGCATCATCTCCTACAGCTCTGTTGAAGTTTCTGACCACAAATCATATCAAGCTATCATTTCTGTGGGTTTGTAGCTCAGCCAGAAAAAGCTGCATGTGGGAGAAGTTCATTTCTAGTCTGCAGGATTTTGACATTTGCAGTTGTGTGTCTGGAGCTACTGAATGGCCATGTATTAAAATTGTATATGGATAATAGTTTCTAGTGACAAGGGAACTGTAATTTGTAGTTAAAATCTAGGTTTGACTTTTAAATGTGTCATTTTGGAAAGGCCAAATAACATTATACGACTATAATACATAGCAAATTTGAGATTTATAGTGAATTTTAGGGGGAAATAGATAAAATATTTTACAAAATCATGTCCAGTAAGAGGCCACTGCCCAAGCTATTAGAGCAAGAGCACAAACTTAAGAAAATATTCTCAAAAAAAGATTTCCATGAAAAAAAAGAGAGTTTCTAGTCCTCTTGCGTGTGAATATGAATTTACTGCTCTATGTGGGTTTTTTCAGTGTGTGATAGCTCTAAGAAATAGCTCATGGCAACTTTTCCTAGCTTTCAATGAGCAGAAAGAATCCTGAAATTGTCTGAGGTAGTAAACTTAACACAAGGGGCTTTCTAGTTGTATTTTTTTTTAATTTTATTTTTTAATTTGGGCTAAAACCAACTTACATCTGCAGAGGAAGTTGTAGGGAAGCACTGGAGGGTCTTATAAATGCAAGAAATGGATATTTGGTGGGAACCAAATTCTCAGAAAGTAGTCTATTTTCTTCACGCTGTCAGACACTGAATTTTTTCAGTCTATTTTTGCTGTTCTTGGGTTTCCACCAGTCTTGGTAGTCTGACCTTACAAATTTAGTAGCATGACCAGGCCTGATCTTGGCAATGCTCTACAAAAATATGTTGAAAAGTGCCCGGTGTAGCAACCTAAAGATGAACTCTACATTGTTTTGTTTTGTATTCCTGCTGCAATGTTCTTCTACCTGCAACTTTAGGAACTTCACAAAAGTTCTGTTAATACAGCTGGTGCTTGACCTTGGACACAACGATTTATTTTACTTTCGCAACTTTTGGAACTGTAAATACAAATGTAGATGAACACCGTGGTCATTTGATGCTTTCTGTGAACTTAAATGGTCAGTTAAAGTGAGAAATAAAATGTAAATTTTTTTGCCATGTGGTAGCAACAGAACTACATAACAACACGAAACAACTGTCTGTGCTCTAGGTTTTGTCAATGTATTTTAAATATAATTTAGCTGTCTGAAGAATGTTATAAAGAAATCCTATCACCTCCCATTTAAATTTTATCTAAATTTAGACAAGATTACTGCATATACTGACCAAGTCCAAGTGAAACAGAATAGCCAGAAATACAGGTTTTAGGGGTCTTTTCTTAGATGATAAATCTAGTCTTTCTGTAAAGCAGAAACAAACAAAGCAGGTCTGTGAAGCTACAGATGAACTGTGTTCAACTTTAGAAAAGCAGAAGCTGTAAGGTCCCAGCCTAATGCAGATATGCAGACAACAGAACTGTGCCAGCATCAGTGGTTCAAGGCTGAAGAAGTTTGTGGAGATCTTTAATTTTGTCATGGTTTGACCAACATTGCTGAAATTTTCTCAGCATTTCAGGTTAACACGCTCAAAACATTCTGCTGTGAATCAGGTGATTTATGTTTAGTTGCAACTCCAGATCTGTAAAATTGGCTTGAGCTTAAGCTCTGGAATGCAACCCTTATACAAGCAAGCTGTGTTTGGTTTCAGGTTTCTTAGAGACTTGCATGCAAAATTGCCTCATTACTTGAATTGATACCTCTAATTAAGCAGATTCAGTGTGCTGCAGTAATTGTCCTTTAGTATTTCAGCTCTAACTAATACCCAGCATAACTCTCCTTAAGCCACAGGAATCATATAGAGACATAGGGCTCTTCTGCTCAATACAATGTCTTTTTTTAGTAAGATATGGGAGTTTTTTAGTGCCATGTCTAGATACAGGAAGTGTGTTCTTGCTACTGGAATAATTCTGATTTTATTTTAATAATGTCAGAAAGAAGAGATGGACATCTTCTTGCATCTTTGGCAATATACTTAGAGTATCTTTATTTTCATCTGATGTCTATAGTTCTATCATGCCTTACTCTTCTGTATCTTGATACTTTGTGGGTTTGTTTTGTTTTTAAAGAAAACTGTGCAAAATTCTGGATTATACAAGCAAATTCTCTTGTATATTGTGTTGTGAGTTGAGTATTTGGGGTTTTGATTTGTCCTTCAAATTCAGCACCCTTGGTAAATTTTTAATTCCTTATTAGCAAAATAGAAGATCTCTTTGTTTAAAACTCATTGTTATGGAACTGAATGTTCTGAATGTTTAGTCAGATTGAATCACGCAAATAAGAGATGGATCCCACTCCTGCATGCACTTCTGAATTAAAAAATAACTTTTCTGATATTGTTGCACTGATGTGAGGTATTGGAATAGTTAAATATGTGCAAAAGTATTTGTAGGATTGAGGTTTGTCTGTGGCTTAGCAAATCCTTGCATTTCTATAGCAATCTGACAATTGGTTGGCTCATTTCACTGGTTTAATATAATTTCATTCTTGGAAATGTATTGTAAGATTACCTGTTATGGAAAGCAAAGATGATTACAGTATGTGAGGCTCCCTTCACTCCTTAGAAGCGGAGTGGGAGGATGGGAGAAGGCATCTAGCTTGTCAACACATGGTTCCACTAAAGGCTCTTTGCTCTTACATTGTCCTCCTTGCTTCTTACGTTTTGTAAGGCTCTTCTGATCAGAATAATATCCCAAATTCATTAAAATTCAAAGGTTTTAGTTGTAGAGGGGCGACTTGCTCATCTAGAGTCATAAAACCATATTGAGAAATTACTGAAACACTTGACACAAAATTCAATTAGATAAAAGTCTGTTGACGAAATTGAGGCATTACTTTTCTATTTTTAATGTGAAAAAGTAATAAAAATATTAGAAATGTGTCAAATGCTGTGATGCAAAAAAGTTGAATTTCATTAGGTCTTCATTCCATATAATTGAAGCAAAGAAATGCAATGATTTAACAGGGATCAGAGCAGATATATATACACATATATACATATAGCAAACTCAATAACATCTCGAATTATAATAGAGTTAAAATAGTGAAGCTGCAAGATCCTGATCCTTCTGATCTACGTGGATTATCAGAAAAGTGCACACCAGAATTTTTCTCCTCTTGGTACTGTATTCTCTCTTATGGTTACAAGGCTTGGTAGAAATGCCTTTCAAAAACCCACATTTCCTTTAGTATCTCTCAAATAACTGTGTAATGCAGCAGAATCCAAGTTATTTCTTTTATTTTATTTTGCCTCTCCAGCATAGAAAGCCTTAAAAATAAAATAAAACATGTCAACCAAGACTTTTTTCCTGTGGAGTAAGTTTTAGTGTCTTATGCCCAAGGCTTGATTTTTTTTTTTTGAACACCGTAGGAAGAAGGTAGATGAGAAATAGCCTTTGACTACAACAAGCTGAAATGTTTGAGGTGGATTGCTTTTATACTAGGCCTGTTTCAATATATACTTAGAGTTAGTTCAAGAAATACTGAATTATGGACCATTAATAACTATGAAGGCAAAATCACTGAATGCCTAATTTGATTTTTGATATACACAAAGTAAAATTTTAATAGTTATATAGGGCTAGAAGTAAATATTTTGAGTAGTGAGATTGTATGAGCAAGCATGGCTCTCTCTAAAAACTTATTTAAATGCTTTATAATATTTTTCTGTGTTTGATTCCTGGAACAGGGACTATAAAATTTTAAGATGGCTTGATAGAGGATCAGAACATAGCCAGGCTGACTGAGGAGAGTCCAGGAAAGGTACTATTACTTGAGAGTTGATTGTATTTTTTTTTTTTTAAGAGAGGATTTCAGGCTGTTCCTGTGTAAAAATGCAGATGAATAGTATTCGTCCCTTCGACCATGCCGTGGTATCTCTAGCCAGCAGTGAAATCTGCACATTGGTATGCAGACTGCTCCTTGCCACCTTTCATACCCCTGCGGGGGGGTGGTTTTCCTTGTAGAGTTTTTGTTTGGTTTGTTGGTGTTGGTTGGTTGGTTTTTTTTCCCTTTTCAAATTTTGCCCGTATCAAATGGTAACCAAGATACACAGGTTATTGGTCTGAGCCTTCTGTTTACAGCTATAAGCTGTGTGGTCGACTCAGGAAGCCTTATAGCAAAATATGCGTCAGAACCTATAAAAATTTCTTTGCTTCTTGCATGAGGAAAAAGCTCTGAATAGAGTGAGTAATCACATGTGGATTTTTCATGGAATAGTTTCATGTCATGTGATAGTAAAACACACTTAAGGAACATCAGGATATGGAAAAAAAAGAAAAATCATGATGTCATGAAGCTTAAAGAAATGTATACATATTACTCAGTTTGCATTTTTTACCCCACAGTTTGTGCTGTTTTACAGAAAATTCTTATGTGTGTTTGTGTAAACGTAACTGGATTGTAATCAATAGAATTATCCACCACCAAGAACGATTTATATTAGCCAGAGGCAGGGATTCCCATTCATTAAATCTGTGGAGGACAAGCCTTTATCTATTTCCGTAGATGCAGCCTGGAGCATCCAACATGTCATGGATTAGATAAATTGGGCTTGACATGTCTGTGTTTCTGGAAAATAGGACAAAAATTTCTTTTGTCCTTTGTGTCTTGTCTGCAAAAGCAGTAGTGCTTTTGTCCCAACTATAGAGAATGACAGGAGATAATTTTACTTGCTTGAAAAACTTTTTTTAAAATTATAGGCATATTTTATGTAGAGATTTGAAAAACAGACCTGCCAGCATTTTCTCAAGTGTGAAGAGAAGGACAGTCAACCTAATAACTGCCACATATTCCAGCTCTCAAAACATTTGCCTAAATCAGCTCCATCAGGTACAAGCTTGCCAGAATTGACATTTTCATAGTCCTTTTTTATAAATAGCCATTTTGTTAGAACTTCTCCACCATAAAAGAATGTATTCACTTCCCCAGAAAAACACTAGCCCTGAGGTCAAGGGATTTTTGTGGACTGCTGGAAACATAAGCTAAATTCCTTCGTGAAGTGAATACACATTTACACAAATTTAAACTGCTCCAAAATGGTATCATTGTGCAAGTCTTCCCAGTTAGTCAACAGCCCGACTATTGGGACATTCCCTTGAGGCGCTGAGGACTTACAAAGCAGTCTTCAATATGGACCTCTGATTAAAATACAGACCTTGATTTCTTTCAAATTTTGAAACTTTAAAAAGAATTTGTTTCTACATTATGTGTGGAAATGTAGCTTCCATGTAGATCTAAAGAGAAGAAAAATTCTGACAGAGCTTTGCAACGCAGAAAAAGTTGAATTTTTGCAGTTTTCTCGTCCACAAGCAATTTCTTTTTGAAGCAATGCATCAGCCAAATTAGCACAGAAGAATAAATTTTCTGTAACTTTGTAATTGCAGTGGTATGTGCAAACCCACAGCCTAATTCAAAGATTATTAAAACATGGTTTCAAACTGATCCTTTATGATAGGGAATACAAAGGTTTATAAAAGTGAATTCAATATAGTCTGTTTTGTTGTGTTTTCCCTGTTGCAGAAGGGTCATAGGTGGGATCTGTTAGCGAGAATGAAGGTACCTTGCTTGGGCAGTAGTCAGTCCTTTAGTGTTTGTACTTCCTTTTTTCATGTATTTATTTATTTTTTTATTTTTATTGTAGCTATGCATGTAGAAGCATAATTACGCAGTTTTTCGATGGAAATAAAAACATTTACTCACCAGAATATACTGTGAATAACAGCTAGTTCTGTGTTAACTGTATTCCAGCATATCATATGACACATTTATCTCTCTTTAAAAAGGGGGGCAAAAAAAGGTAAAATCATCTTAACTGCACAAGAGCAGCATGTGATTCCACTAAATAATATTTGGCAAAGATGTAATTTGTAGATACAATAGAGTTACACAATTACTACTATTTAAGTACGCTGTAACATGTCCTATTTAAGCTTTATTAAAATTAAATCTGTGACTGGATATAGAATCTCCAGAAGACAACAGTTTAATTGATTCTGGTCGAAGTTCAAATTTCTCCCATTAATTTCCAACAGCCCTTTGCTTTATTTCCAGTCTTGTTTTGCCTTCTGCCGTCTTACTTCCCCTTCTTTCCCCTCCACATCCAATTTGGGAGAGGGAAAAGTGAACTCCCTGCTCTTAGCATTGTCCTCAGGGTTTTGTGCTCTATCAGCAGCAGCTCTCCGTTCATGGTTCCCGTGCTGCTCTCAAAGTTCTGTCCTGCAGAGCAGAACTGCTGATCATTTACATCCCTAGCTTTTTTCAGACAGATGAAGAATGGCTGACCGGTTTATCAGGACAACAAAAAGTTTCCTAGCAAGTCAGGAGTGATCTGCAAATTCCTGGTGAATTCCTCATCTCTTCATGCTGGAAGGCTGCTGTGTTGTTAGTGGTCATGCTTTGGTCTTGTGTGAGTGCTCAACTTGAACCTGAACTTTTTGGCAGTGGGGCAAGAAAGCAACATCTGATGGCACAGCTCCATTAAGATGTAAACTGATCTCTGTTGCTTAATGCTAAGGGGAGTGCCTCTAATCTAATCTTCAAGTTCTCGGGTACTTAGCAGAAGGTGGGGATATTTTTCTCTCCCCGGGACAGCAACTGACTTTTTTTTTTTTTTTTTTTTTTTTTTTGCCTGCTGATGAAAATCCAGAGTGTAGTCATGGCTGACGCAGTGTATGTGTATTTGAGATGGCATAAAATTCTGTCCTAGAAAGATTCAAACATAACAGTGGACTAAATATTTTATCCCTCTCTTCCCCTGTCTCTGTAGGGACAACAAACTGCCAAGCAGTGTCTGCTTTTTCTTTGCGTTTCAATACAAAGCATGGGTTGCCTGCTTGGAAAACTTCAGTTTTGCATCAATCTCTTTTTCCAGAAACTCTCGGTCACAGAGCCTCAGGCTCTTGCTTTTTGCAGGAGCAGCTGTATCTCCAGAGGACTGAACTTGTTTCATTTCAATAAAGTATAGTAGAAGTTTTATGAAAAGTAATGGGTTGGAGTTTAGAGACAATTGGGCCATGTGATCTAATAGGCTCTTTTTCTGGCTTTGCATCCTGAGAAAGAAAGATATTTATGTTTATTGTTTTGGTTTAATTTTCTTTAAGAACTTCTGGTATTTCATTCAGAGTGGGAGTTAAGATACTTCATTGTTGGAAAAAGTTCCTGAGCCAAATAACTTGAAGTGTTTTTAATTTAGGAATACATACATACTGGGAAAATGATGATATGATCTATAATTTTTCTTAACAAGTATCTTTCAAACCACCATGAACTGAAAAGTTCTTTATGTTCTGTAAAACATACTTCTATCTACTGTGGCAGGCGTCACTATCCGTAAGTAAATCCTGTGCTTTTGGTTCCATTCTAATTTTTCCACTTATTCTTTTGCCTACCTGTGAAATATCATAAACCTAATTGCTTTAAACATGTATGTGTTGGGAGGGGGCTTTGTAAATCAAAACTTTTGAGACTGTGGTAGTTTCTGATGTATTTTGCAAGCATTTGTGTTGTTATGCGCGGAAAGAAAAATAAAAAATGTGATTTTATATAAGTAAGTATGTGTTTTTGTCACATGCATACACATAGGCAGGCAACTCTGTGAGGTTTATTCAGGAGGGAATCATGGTCCAGGCTATGTGATGCTGGCATAGGTTGATAGAGGTATTTTCATGTCAATTGTGTGCTACCTGTAAGACCAGCAGCCAAGTGCAGCTGCAAAACTATGGACTTTCTGTCACTTTTTTTCTCAATGTACCTCTCTCCTTCCTTCCCTTCCACTCCCTGTGTGCAGCGAGCTTTGACTTTGGTCTTTTGGCTTGGATTCTCCCATTCTCCTCCTAACTTCATCACTTTCTGCAGTTGATCTACCTGTTATTCAGTAAAGCAACAGGGGGTTGACAGTGAAATGGTACCCTGGAAATATGCAGTAACTTGTCATTAAGTTCCACTTACTTTGTGCTATGCAGTTACAAATGTGTAAAAACATTTTCCAGTGAATTATTAATGCTAAATGGAATTATTAGTGCTAAATAGAAGATGCATTACTGCACAGAACTATCTTCATAGAGTTTACTCGTGGAGTGTGTCCATTTCATGGCATTAGTTACATATTCATCATTTCAAAAGCATGCTTTTGAAAAATAGCACTTTTAAAGCTGATAATATATTCATCATATTCAATGTATTCATAAAAATGAAAAATTCCTTGAAAATCTGTTTGCAATACAGTGTTCTGATTAACAACCCTTGGAAATTTGCGCTCATTATACCATAAACATGACCTTTATAAAACCATCAGAAAAATCCAACTGCAGAATATGCTGGGTCAAAGACTTTTTTAAATGTCAAAAAGTGTAAAGCTTTAAAATTAATGTGATTTTTATAATACTTGGCTGATACTTGTATTTTTTTCTTAGCTTATTTATTTATTGTGGAGGTTTTTTGAATCTTTGTGGTTAGGATCTACCAGGAGAATGTGACCTCAGGGGAGCATGGTTTGGTATGCATCTTAATGACCTTCAACAGTTTCTTCCTTGTGTTTCAATGTTTAGATCCAGTTAGTTTGTAACCACATTTTTGCTGGACATGATCTGATAAGATCTAGTATCTTTTCAGTAGAGGCTACAAACCATATACTGACCCACTGGTTAGGAGACATCCACAATATGTCAGTAAATAATGGTGCAGTCAGTTCAACGCTGTCACAAAATAGGCTGAAAGGTGTTGAGAAGCACTATGCGTGCAGTTTTGGGGAAATGCACATTTGT